AACTCTGGCTCCCAAGCGCCCAAAGCCTTGCCCCTACCCCACCTCCAGCCAGAGGGCAGACACTTCTGCAAGTTGGGCACGCATTACAGGCAGAACCCAAGAAGCTCAGAAAGCTGCCTGCGCACACACAGCCTGAACATTTTCCTGAACAAAGGCCCAGGCCTGGGACTCAAGTGAGGCGACCTCGGAGGGACCGCACTGGGGCTGGGGGACCGGAAAACCACACCCAGGCAGGGAAGTGGTGGCAGCCTGGCCCGGCGGCTGCCTCTTACAACCCCTCCAGGTTTCTGCCTGCCACCCAGCTCTGACATGCCTTTTGACCACTGGTCTGTGGGGCCTGTTAGGCCAGGGCACCTGAGAAAGACAGTGGCAGTGGGGGGGGAGGAAGAGGAAGCTCCTGGCCTGATGGATGCTCCCTGCAGCATCACCCCAACAGCCTGGCGCCAGGTCCCAGCCTCACCAAATTCCCTCAGGGGTGGCCAGGCCAGCTGAGCAAGACCCTGTCCTGGGACAGGAGTCCCGGCTCCGTGGGGCACCCCTTCCCAAACATCTTACCCGCCAGCCGAGCAGCCCGCCCTCCTCAGGGCTCTGAGTCCTAATCAGTGCCCCTCCTCCAAGCTGCCAACCCCAGAAACCCCCAGACTTAGGAGTGGTAGCCGCCTCCTGCAACCATCGTCCCGTCACCATCACTAAAGTGGCTTCTGCCTTCCTGACACAGTACCTGGTACCAGGGTGGGGCTCATCCCCCACGCACCCCCCTGGCTCCCAGCCATCCTACTGAAGCATCTCCACTGGTTGTCGGGCTCATCCAATTCCATATGCCAATGACAGAGCAGACGGCGGCATGTTCTGGGGAAGGGTAAGAGCACGAAGACGTCCAGCCCACGTGGCTGTAGGGCAGGTGTTCACAGAACCCTAAGGTGCACAGCTGGCTTTGCCACATAGAGTGGATCCTGGTGGCCTTGCAAACTGGCAGAGAACAAGCACTTGCCAGGTCCGTGACGGCATGCCACGCGCCGAGAGGGCAGCGGCAGCAATGCCGCATCTGGGTGCACCACCTGTGTCTTCAATCAACCATACTCCTTACAACCTGCCCGCCTCCTTACAGGTGTGCTAAGGACACCACCACTGCACCCTCTCATCGAGGATGCATTCTGCCTTTGGATTGCCGTCCTGACCAGGGAGACGACGTTCCAGAGACTTCCACCTGCCCGTCCCTACCATGACGGCCCTTGCTCCAAGGTCCATGTGGAATCCGTGTGGGAATCCTGCCAGTTCTCAAGTCTCTTTGCATGGCACATTCAGGTCCTGGGACAATAACCACAGGCATCTGTGGACCCACTCAGACAAGTGTCACCACTTGATCCAGGTAGCCCTCCTGGACCTCTGAGACTTAGTAACAATTCAGAGCCAGTGAAGATTACCACCCCCACCCAAAAACACTGGTGTTCCCTTCTCCTAGGCAGTCACCACAACAGGTGACTGCAGGTTCCTTTAGGAGTGCCCAAAGGAAATCCATGCACATGGCAGCATTCCAGGCCCTTCCTCCAGAATCTCATGCTCCCCTCAAGCAAGGACTCTGGGTGTGCTGAGAGGCTGTGCCTCTCCATCATGGTGACCAAGCTGGGTTTCGGTGCCCTGACCGTTAACTCTCCTCAAGGAAATGTCCTAAGAACTATTTAGTTCCCAAAGGGGTCTTGACATCTATGCAGATCTCAAAGGCAAGCCTTCTGTTCCAGACAAAGTGCTTTATGCTTCTATGAAATAGCCACTCCAAGTATTCTACACTGACATTTCTTGTGAGCTTAGGGATCAGCTTCTGACACCATGTAATAGCTGAGGCCCAGGGTCCTGCCCAGGCCCGTGGCCAGGGAAACTCCTCTGCTCCCATTCACTGCCCGTCCCTTTAAAATTCTACGGAGGGGTGCCTGGGTGGCTCAGTCGGTTGAGCGTCCAGCTTTGGCTCATGTCACGATCTCATAGTTCGTGAGCTCGAGCCCTGCATCAGGCTCTGCATTGACAGCAGGGACTCTGCTTGGGATTCTCTCTCTCTGCCCCCCTCCCCCCATTTGTGTTATCTCTCTCAAAAAAAAAAAAAAAAAATTCCACGGAGAATACACCTACCATCTCTGGCCACAATGTAGAAGTTTTCACATTTCCTGGAATGACTCATCCTCAAACGTTTATTCCAAAAAATACTTTATTTATTAAACAATATATCCATAATCTATAACATGATCCAAAAATACAGATATACATCTTTACATTATTCAATAAAAAGATTTACAATATTATCTTTCCTTTACAAAGGGGACATAGATAATTCCTTGAAAATTAAATGTAACATTCATGTTAAAGCTGCATCATCTTTTTGGATGAAATGTGGTCAAAGTGAACACCACAAAATACATTTGTAGAAAGAAAGAAACTTCATAGACTTCTCTCCTGAATGAGAACGTTTTTCTTAGGTTTCCTGTTTTAAAATTCCTCTCAGCACAGGTAGCGAAGACCAGCCACGGCTCACTAGCAATTGAGGAAAAGCTTCAGTCTCCAAGGCCCATGATTAAGTGTCTATTCCGGCTCCGGCCACA